CGTTAGTCCGCTCTCATTGGTTGGCCAATAAGCTTCGGCCAGTGTCAAGGTCAAATGTTCCGGCTGCTAGGAAAGGAGTGCCTGCCCTGTTAACACCTCCGCGAAACTTAACGTACGACTTCATTCGCGGAGCCAGCTGCACATGGATGACGGATCTCCGTACTTGAGCACTCCGGCGCCGTGGTTGCATTTCGGCTCTTCTGGAACTTCAGTGCGAGGTGCATCCGAATATTTAATGGCAAATCAAAACTGTCCAGTAGAATATATAGCGGTAGCAGTCGAGTACTAATGCTTGTCGGGATGCCAGTTGGTCGCAGCTGATTAGCATGCCTAGTCCAAATCGAAGTACCCACTCTGACATAGAGTACCCGACCAAATCCTCTCTGAATCAGTCCCACCACACACTTCCACGCGATAGTACGACTAAAATACGTTGTCCTAGGGAAAACTGACGTGCTTGAGTTCTGTGTTGCTCATTGTAGTAACTTTCCATTCGAGGGTTCCTTCCTTGTGGGCTAGTGTGGCTCAGAAGCAGCAATGAATTTACAGCATGGAGCTTGTGAGACTGAACTCTTGTACAGACCTTGTTGATGGGAACATCCAGAAGGTTGAAGCGCTCGATCCAATCTAGCCCAAGGAGGTTCAAGTTCTCCTGACATGTGACAAAATATTTCTCGAAGCGGTGACTTCAGCAAAGCAGCACTCACACTCAGTCTGACCGGTCAAATTTAATTTGGTGTCTGATGTGCTCGTCGATTGTTAGCCGATCGGTTTAATGTCAGGTGCACCACCACTTTTTCCACAAGTTTTCCGAAATAACTGTGATGTCGGACGCCGTGTCAATTTGCAAAGGTGCTAATCTCCCGTTGATGCTGATAGGGACAAACTTCTTATCCTTAACAACTTCGGCAAAGTTGGTATTTACTGTTCTTGTAGATTTTCCGCGACCTTGTCTTCGGGCAGTGTATGCTGGCCTGAACGAGAGTTTGGACCTGCAATGGGTCTCCTTGTATCCATGTCTATGGGAATTATGTCAGATGTGCTTGCTGAGAGGGCACATCTCGCACAATGTCAACCTCCGCATTGCCAGCAAGCTGATGGGGGTTTAGCTTGTGGACATATCTTGTGCTCAGGTGCTGGGGTGTTGCTCCTTTAAACTTGCTTAATAGGAATAACACCAGTATGCACCTTTGAACCCATCAACATGGCTGCGTCGTGCTTTAAATTCATGATCTACCTTCAATCCACCACAGGGTGGGAGTCTCAATTATTCGCAGCTGTATGGTCTCAAATTACTGCTGCTGCTTTAACAAAATAGCCTTCAGGTCTTGCAGTGAGAATGACACTGATTTAGTTCACCTGTCGTTAAAATCTGATGTGATTTCCATTGATTGTACGGATAATCTACTGCTACCGCGCAAGCTGACCGGCCTCAGGTGAAAACTGGATTGTGCACCCGAAAGCAGTGTAAGCAAATCAACTAAATCGATCGAATCAACAGTTACTAAAGAAATGACGTAGCGCCCACTGGCAGGCGTGAAGGCAAACTATCCTCATTGGCAGCGTTCAAGGTGAAGCGTCATCGTTACACCGCTCTCATTGGTTGGCCAATAAGCTTCGGCCTGTGTCATGGTCAAATGTTCCGGCCGGTAGGAAAGAGGTGCCTGCCCCGTTAACACCATCTGATTCATCATTTAGGTCAGGACGCCCCGAATTAGTCTGTGCTCATTTGGAGCTCTGAACTGGAAAGCCATCAATGTTAAAAATGCGATTTTCATTTGTGTTAGACATAATGAACATGCTGTAGAAATATATTGATCGTGCCAAGACCCAAGAATATACATTATTAGTTTCAAATTTGTTTAATCTCATCAGATACAGATAGTGTCGACGCCACACCGGGATCACTAGGGTATTCGCCGAAACCACTGCACCTAATCCACCGAGTCGCGGCGAACAACGCTTGTCACAACGGCCCCGGGTTCCAGAGCATGCGAGCTCTATCCGATGAAATGAAATAAGGTCGAAACGTAGTGTTTTCGGGCGGCCAAAACCCGATAGTCATCGGCTTCAGCTATGGGCCTAGTGATCGCAATGTCCAAGGTTCACTTCAATGTGAATCGATATTCACGTCAACTTTGCGCAGCAATCCATTCACACAACTAGTACTTCAAAATGACCCTCCGATCAGCCGCTAACCGTTGTGTCAAGCGTTGCCCGTTGTGAACCGGTAGAGGTTGCGGCTAACATCCCAATAGCCCCGGGTTCAATGCCTGCTATCCCTAACTGATGAGATCAAACAACGTCAAACTGGTGGTGGGTTGCAGTGTCTTCGCGTGAGTAACATCAATTATCGAACGTCTAGTGATCTCTCTTAGAGAGGATGCCAGAGGCGTAGCAAAGGGGCGGGGGACGCAGTCCGTCACGGACGACATGCGGCCGGGGCGGCATTATTTTAGTACCGCGGACTGTTCGATACCAAATACAAAGGGATTAAATTTCTAGCCAAGCTGAGGGTTGGTTATCTTAATGGTACTCTTTACGACCAATAACGCCTTTGCATCAGGTGTCACACCTGTGCGAACGTTCTTCCCAGCGATCCCCCTACTTGTCCCATTGCGGTCACTTTCACCAGTGTCCTAAACGATCCGCCCACTTCATCGAAAATTAATGTGTACTTTGTCCTGAGCCGATTGTGTGGTCTTCACGCACTTATTCTGTCCCCAGTCAGGGCAATAATTTTACTGTCGCCCCGGGAGGCAAAATAGTTGCTACGCCACTCGAGGATGCATCACCTTATTACATGTAATGTTGAGCAGAACAGTAAAAGTAATGAGCAGAATAGCAAGTATTTCAAGAATGATTGGACGTCGTCAGAACCAAACAAATTATCCTACCTCTGATGCATCAGCCCGCGTTGTATTTGAACGCTTGCCAGTGTTGTAGCCACAAGGTCCTAATAACGCAGCGAGTAAGCGAGCTCACATACCCCACATTCTATGGATTAGCCAGCGAATCTGAGGATGAGGGAAAGCACTCAGCATTACCCCAGTAGCTGCACTATTCTGCGACCACAAGCGGCTGTATTCTGGCTGAGATACCTCAGGCACTGGCGAGCCCATTCAGAACCGAGGACTCGAATCCGAGACTGTAAGCTAAAGGCCTAACACAGGATACCACAAGTCTCCAGGTGGTAGATGCACAATGCAGTAAAAGTCAGTCCAGCTTGAGAAGGCAACGGCTGGTTTTCCCAGAAGGCTGTGTTAGGCAGGCTGCATTCAACCACAGAAGCTAAAGAAAGAGCTATAAGTCTGTGCTGATTATATGGCTGTCACGAAGATCATTAAACTTCTCACCAGCCGATAAGGAAATACATAGTTAATGGTGGTATAACGGACAGAGTAGGTTAGAGCGAGCACGTGAGATGCAGTTATATTCCCCAGTTCACCAGAAGCAACCTGTGAAGATCGTGTTCAACACCGATCCGAGAAAGAAGCTGAATGCACTTTAAATGAAATTTGTCACAACAGCTGATGCAGGCAGAAAACAAACTCCTGAGTAGCCGAAAAAAGGCTTCAGCAGTACACCGGTACGCAATACCGACGCCTTGTTGTTGCGCAACTACCACCGGTCGCACGTGCGCTAAGGATACTGCGAGGGTCGCCTTGCCCATGCGCAGGCTCGAACCTGCGACGCAAGATTACGAGACAAGCTCGTTGCTTCTAGGCTACGGGCAGAGCTGAGTAGCCGAACACTCGATTGGTGGCACGCCGACTATTCCCAGAGAGTAGCTCGTAGAAAAGAGAGAAAGTCATAATGCTGGACAATGAGACGAAGCACTCTACTCAGAGATTGATATTTATATCTGTAACTAATTCGATTCATAAGCTAAGCTGAAAACAACGGAGGATGTAGTAAGGAAGAATTTTTCAGCGGAGCGTACTTTCAACCCAATGCAATTCAGCTCAATCAACATATTGTCAGAATCATCGAAACGTATAAGGCAAAAAGCAGTGTAGGTTGACCAATCAAGGAAGTGGACCAAAGTTGTCAGCATAGAGATATGGTCAACATACAGGAGTCTGGATGGATCAGGTTTACATGGTGAACATTCAAGACAATAATAGACGGTCAGATTAGAGAGGTGGACAGGATACAGAGGTGTTCAACTCCGGAAGTTTAGCTGACTGCAAGTTTCACAAAGGCCTCACAAAAGGATCCTTTTGAGAAAAGCCAAATTTCGGGCACCAACAGATGACAGCACAAATCTACTCCGTTCAGTGAATACACTTGAAATCAGAGAAGGCTTAAAAAACGGGTGCGGGAGTGCGAGTGTTTAAGTCAACCAGTGTTGAGTGTTCAAGCATAATGCCTTCGGCATTATGTAATTTGATTTGGAAATTTATGATTGAAAGCACAGTATCCTTATCGCTCGCCGGTCATTCTGTTTTTACATTGCTCCTTCAAAAGTATCGCATATTGATGGTATAAATGATAAGAAACATTTGTGCGTGTATTGAGCTGTGTAGAAATGCTTTCGTTGACTCCATCGTAGATAAGCAGTTTTATGCACGTAACCAGTTCGCACCAAAGTACAGAATGACCTTTTCACCCTTAACCCGTGAAACAGTGTAACGAGTTCTTCCGCGTATTCAAAGTATACGCATGGAGTTTCGCACAGTTAATAATTTCGTCTTACGTAGCGAATCGTGAGCATGGCGCGTGACTCCGGTTCTGGTGACAACTGGACACAGTTCCTGTCTCGACTTTTATCAACGCGTTTCTGACCGACACTGCATTTCGCTACAAACACACAATGATGGCGTAAATGTCGAAAGCACATCCATTCGGACATACAAAGCCAAGTTAGACTAGAGTTCATCCGGAGGGGGGAAGGGGCAGATCAGCTGGCCAATTGGGTACAACGGAAATGGCTGGCGTCTAGGGTAGAAAAACCACAAGAACACAGAGAAAGTATGGGAGATGGAGAGACTACTCACTTGTTCCAATGCTGCTTTGTCCGAAAAAGAGCAGGAAACATGATGGGCAAGATTTCCTCCACGTGATCTTGCATTAACTGAAGGATGTAATCATTACTCCAAAAATAGAGAGCGCGTTCGGCGACCTTGAGGAGACAACAAGCATTAGACAAGTTAAGTCAAAATAAGCTTTATCTGTCTAGATGAGCACATTTTCAGCATTTCACAATAACAACTACGAATGGGTTGAAAGGGTATCGACGGAAGTTTAAATTCGTATGGATGGAAAAGGGACACCGTTTACAGGTGTCACAAGAATAAACGGTCCGGTAACAGTAAAAAAAACAAGTGCACGTTTAATTAGTTGAGAATTCGTCGCACCAGAGTCCAAATCAGATAGCCCTGCACTTGCTCAGAAAAGCACTAGACTGCAGTTTCAACCAGTTGGGCATCATTAGTAGTGCGCATCCATCGGGTCCACCAGGATTCGAACCCATGACCACAAGCGGGTTGCAACGTCAGTCAGCAACTTATGCTATTGGAAAACACGGGACAGGATCGGACCATCATGGTTTACAAGATAAGGGCGATATAGCGTGTCTTATCCTCCACTGTCATGTAAGTTACGAGCGTTGCAAAGGATAGGATTGACCCCGAAAGACACGACGTCCACTGACAGTAACTATGTACGACATAGCATTTAGACTGTTGGGGCGGATATTTTGAGTGGGGGAATTTGATGTGATTAATTGAGAGTTCGTCGCACCAGCTACCAAATCAGATAGTCCTCCACATACCCGGAAAAGCACTAGACTGCAATCTCAGCCTGTTTGGCATCATCAGTAGTGCGCAACATTCGTAACTTGCATGGCAGTGGAGGATGAGACACACTATATAGCACTTAGCTTGTAAACCATGACGGTCCGATGCTGTCCCCTGTGGCCCAAGAGCATAAGTTGCTGACTGGCAGTGCAAACCACTGGTGGTCATGGGTTCGAATCTTGACGGCTCCGATGGATGATGTCCAACAGGTTGAAACTGCAATCTAGTACTTTTCCGCGCACATGAAGAATTAACTGATTTGGAGGCTGGTGCAACGAAATCTCAACTAATTACATCGAAAACCCCATACTCGTGAGTACAGTAAATTGCACATAGCTTGAACGAAAAATCCGAATTTGCGTTCTGTTGAGCGAACATGGTCGAGGGCCAGTTTCCCAACCAAGATGGCGCATTAGTACCTTTCTTGACAATGAATTACGCCCAATGCGCTGTAGGTTGAGGCTTACACAAAAATCGACGAAGGACACCAATGGCGACCTTAGAGTAAACATAACTAAAGACGATGTAGAAAAATTCTGATAAATCCGATGAATCATCCGAAGCAGAAATTGCAAAAACGGTTCAGGTGAAAAAGAAAACTGCCGATTTAAAGGTCGCGCCGAAAAGGGATACCAGCTGGATAGAGCTGACATAAAGTCGGGTAATGGACAGTTGCCAAGTACGCGATTGGATGAGGCAACGCATGCGTAACAACTGGGATTGGTGGTGTGGTCGCCGAATCACAGCAGTTTCGTTAGTCAACTAAACACTAAAGAACGATAGATAATGTCGTAGTGGCTCGTGTCGCCAAGGGGAAAGTAACAATGGGAAAAGAGAACAATCTCAGATAAAAGCGAAACAAGAAAAGCAAAAATTATAAACAAATGCAAATGTCAGGCAACGAAAAACGAAGAAGCCAACAAGTTTCACGGCTGTGTCATGTTACAAAGGATCTCTCACTCATGGCTAAGCCAGTGGACCACATTTAGGTCTGTTAGGAACGGATGGCCGCGACACTCGTCGACGCAGGTCACTGTTATCAAAGCTTCATAAAACCAGCATACCTTTTCAGACAAACGAGCGTGAAAGCGAAAGGGGTACAAATGCTCAACAATCTCCAATAGATGAGTTGAAAACGGTGGATATACAATAAACAGATGCGAATCTTACGATGTTATCCAATAACAAGTTGTATATTAGCTAAAGCATAATAGTAAAATATACGTACTTGAAAGTGTGGAGAAGAAACACATTTGGCCAACTGAGTGAAGAGGGGTTTGATGACCTTGCGGAATTCCGTCGGATCAACAACGTCCAGGATTTCCTCTAATTCGTTCAAAAACATGACCTCCTTTGGACTGTGAGTCTTGGGCCAAAATTTGAGCAAACCGAGGATTACCTGGATGCACAGAAGGGATTAGGGAACGGAGGCGGCCCCAGATGGAAAGAGACATGATAGTGCTTCGAAAGCAGGTAAACTATGCCAACATAGGGCGAAGCGGATACGAGAGTGACAAATGCAGACCACGTTACAAATACTATCAACGGAACATCTAGCATGAATCCAGAAAAGTATTTGATGTGCGCATCAAGCCTAGATAATGCAACACTTTAGGTTGCCGGTAGCTTTTCAAATTACATTAAGTGTGAGTGATTAGGATGGACAATTTTTTGATCGGTTAGTTCCCACTTATTGATAATCCACTGTTTGCTGTTGCTTTCCGTTTTCTTTTTGGAATCCATAAATGAACATCAGGTGGGACATGTTGGGCTTCGGCTTTTTTTGTTCGCAATATGCCACTGACCATTGAGATTTACAACATTTGCAACGGAATACACCGAGGGGAATCCCTGACGTCATTAAATTTCGACAATGAGAAAGAGCTGGTAAACGCAGTTCCTTCACTGAGTAAAGTAGTCATTGCCAAACTGGTTCAACATAAGATAGGCGATGGCACTGGTGCTTTCCGTAAAATCTGTGTAGGTTGAAGCAGCGTTCGAAAGTATTTCAGAGCGGACCCATTCATAGTAGCACAGTTTCGATGAATTTGTTGGGATAAAATGCACAGCAAGCCGATGCAACCTTAAACACAGGACCAACAACACCGTTTGAAACGTCGTTTACATGGGACTTGACGTCATCCAGTGGACAGCAGGCTGTCTCAAACCGTCAGCTGCAGAAAGGATGCTTCAGCACATGCTTGTCGGTCAACGAACAACAACAGTTTAGTTTGACAAGGTTCTCGCCTACACGTCTATATGACGCGCAGTTTTTCGGTTTTCACGAAGAGCGCAACCTCAAGAGGGATTGTTTGTCACTTCTATCACTTGAGGAAGTAATGTAAATCTGCGCCGCACCATGCACTGTCAAGGAAAGGAACGGGCAACTTAAACGAATTCCGATAGCAATCGCCGGTGGGGTTCATCTCCATGATAAGTTGGGGCGCCCGGATGGATAGAGGATAAGGTTTTAAGGTCGAAATAAGTCAATGGATCGGTTAAAAAGTCAGCTTAACTAGATTTCATGTCCTCATGTAAGCTGGAAAAGAAGAAATAGTCAGTCCCTCATCGTGATTCTTCGTAATTTTGTTTTAGCAAGTCTTTACTCCCTCGAGATCATCTTAATGTTTATATTTCGTTATAAAGTTAAAAAGTAGATCCTTCAACCGTACCTGCATTTCTTATTGCTTATTATTTACTCAACAGCATATTGGTAAGAATGAGTATGTACGTGAACCCAAATTCGCAGGTTTATCACGTCCTCCATACTTGCCATCATACCCACTGCTCGTGTCCACTAGTACACATTCGGCTACATATGCTATTTTGTAGGTGGACCTCGCGCCTTTACTACGTGAATGTGACCAAGCCATGCTTAGATTGGCCTGGAAACTACTAAGAGATCTAACCGAGCTAGTGCACAAATATCTTTACTATCTTTTCGATGCTGACATACACTTGTGTAATGTAGATGCACAATATTGTTCTTCGCGATTCAATTTGGTTATTTGGTCCATAATAGCTATGGAAACACATTCGAAAATTCCAGTGGAATCGGTTGATCAGAAAGGAAACGGGACATAAAAGGAACATTATGAGACGTTGAAGCAACCGAAGTATTCTTCCATTCCCCAGACACTTACTAATTATCTGTCAATGCGTCTAAACATTAAGGTCATCGCAACGAACATAGAAGCTAGATAGGCTAATTGCAAATCCAAAACAGCACCAGACGGCCGTATTTTCGGCGTGAAACTCGTCAATGTTGTGCATTTTCCCCCGGCCGCCCTCAGGGAACTGAGCACCTGACCACTAGTGGCTTGCGCTACATCAGCTTTTGACTAATGCAAAACAGTCGGATGTCGTTGTCGTTGCTGGGAATTTGAATGCACGGGTTGGCAGCCTGTTACCATATGAACGCCACCTTGGTGGTCGCCACGCGCTCGATGAGGACCGCTCTGATAACGGAGAGAGACTTCTCACATTGTGCGAAGAAAACCATCTGTTTCTCTCGAGCACTAACTTCAGGCGTACGAAGAAGCGATCCGCAACGTGGTGTCCTCCTTCGTCAACACAGCCGCGGTCTCAAATTGATCACATTGCAATTAGCTTCAGATGGCGCGGCAGCATACTGGACGGCAGGTCGTCTTGGTCCACCTTCGTTTTCAAGTCAAGTCAAGAAAAGCTTTATGCACCCATATGGATCCATTTTCAGCATTTTACACTATCTACCACAAACGTGGTATAAAATCAACAGTAAAGATAAGAATTTTACACTTTTTAACACAGAGTGAGTAAAGAGTGTACAGATGTCACTTAAGTAAACAGTCCAGAATCATTAAGTAACGACCGTACATTGATTGAACAAATTGTAAGATCCTTCTTCCAGTTAACGAGGCCAACATTTGTTAAAACGTTTATTGACAGCTCGTTTCAACTGGATAAAAGCAGCAAACCGCGAGTTTTGCGCGGTGTCTCGGATACTTTTTCAAAGAATCGGTGGAGTTGAGCGACCTCAGTGACCTTAAAATCGTCCAGCCAAAGAATTCATCAAAAGATTCAAATAAAATTGATACGTTTGCAGCAGATAGCGCAAAAAGGATATTTTGGTGGAGAGCGGCAACAGCCAAATTAAAGGCCCCGCCACGACTAAGATCATGCACTGGTTTGCGCCAAAATCTGTATGTTCTGGGGGGTCCAGAAAAACGAAGCGCCGCAAGATTGCTGTAAAAAGATCAACTGATTCCTCTGTCCAGATAAGCTATCAGTCTTCACTGGCATACCCAGTCAGTTGCAATCCATTGAAGTTGTATACAGAAAGTGATAACCATTTCTGGACAGTCAATCTGTAGCCTAGCTCGATGCCCCTTTAATGCTTGTATCTGCTCGCTCTCTGGAGCTGTTCGAACGCCGCAAAGATATCCCGGCGGAATCAGATTGCAACGAGCTGCGCCGTTCTGCCAACCGGCTGCTCAAGCAAGGCCTACGCAAGGATTGCGAGGCATGGCGGTCAGAGCAGGCTTCAGAGATGGAGACCGCTGCCCTCCCTGGCAACACTCGCAAACTTTTCCAACTCATTCGGTCCATTGGTCTCAGGAAGCCTGGTGTCAGTAAGGTTAGTTGCGAGGCGGATGAATCTCCGATCACAAACCAACAGAGGCGCTTGGACCGCTGGGCCGATCACTTTCACTTGCAGTTCAACTGGCCTCCACCGGCCATCAGTATACGCAGTACACCTTGTTGCCTACCCTGGCTCGTCCCACTGAATCTACCCGGCGAAGCGGAAGTCTGCCTCGAGATTCGACGCTTGAAGCGGTTAAAGACTGCCCGCTCAAACGGACTTCCTCCCGAACTGTTCAAGTATGGCAGCGTGAAGATCATTAACCAGCTGACCACGTTATTCGCAAAAATCTGGCATGAAGAAAAAGTGCCTTCCTCTTGGGGCAACTCAGCTATTGAGCAAATTTTCAAGAAAGGCGCTCACACCTAATGTGTCAATCATTGCAGGATTAGTGTTATTTTGGTTGCTTCCAAGCTATCGGCATCTATTCTGCTTCGTAGACTATCGCCAATATGTGAATCAGACTACCGTGAAGAACAATCTGATTTCCGTTCCGGCCGCGGATGCATGAAGCAAATCTTCATGCTCCACCAATTCCTCGATCATTGCCACATTTATCACAGGCCCACTATCATTGCATTCCTAGACATACGTGCTGCTTTTGACTCCGTTGATCGACCTGCTTTATGGCATAGCTTGGTAAAGAACGGGGTGCCAGAGAAGTATACCGCCATCTTACGAGCACTTTACCTTCATACATCCGGCAGAGTGAGGGTCTATGGCAAGCTTTCCTCGTAATTCACTGTCAATAGCGGTGTGCGACAGGGCTGCGCTATGTCCCCATTCCTCTTCAAGTTCGCCATCGAAAAGGTTCGGTCGAATGCCCTAGGTTTCCAACATTTTGGCCTAGAGCTTCTACCGGGTGAGCGCGCGACCGAGTTAGATTATGCAGATGATATCGCCTTACTTGGTGATGATCCCCAGGGTATGCAACTCATTCTGGATCATTTGGCGGTTGAAGTACCTAACTATGGCATGAACGTCGCTCCATCGAAGTGTAAAGTACTGCTCAAAGATTCGCTTTCACCTGCTCCTGTGCTCTCTATTGAAGGTGTACGACTTGAACAGGTAGATAGTTTCGTCTACCTTGGGAGCAAGGTACTTCCTCTTCGCATCGCTAAAGTCCGAACAGCATTTGTCAATCTGAGGCACTTGTGGCGTCGTCGCGACGTCTCATTCTCACTAAAGGGCCGCGTTTACAGCGCATCTATTCGTTCATTGTATGGGAGCGAGTTAAAGCCAATTCGCGTGGAAGACATGCGTCGTGTTTCTGCCTTCAACAACGGTTGCTTAAGGAGGATTGCTCGTGTTTGGTGGCAATATCGAGTTAATAGTAATGACATTCGACGTTGCATCTTGGGGAATGCGAGTATTCCCTTCAACAAACTGGTTTTGTTGCGCCAGTTAAGATGGCTCGGTCACATCCTACGCATGGCACCTGAGCGTCTACCGCGTCGCGCTCTATTCGCTCGTCAAGGACCTAGCTAGAGGCGACCGGGTGGTGGTCAGCCTTCCACTTGGCGACAGCATATAAAACCGCTGACGTCGTGTCTAGCCGCTGTCGGACCCTACATCTTCCAGGATAGGGACCCAAAGATGAGGAGTGCTAATGGCTTAATACCCTTGAAAACATGGCCCGCAACCGGAATCAGTGGAAGAATTGTGTACAGAATTGTACTGATTCACATGTTTAATACTTCAAACATTGAAAATGACAAAAAAGAGAAAAATCGGTGTGAAAAACAAACGAAAAAGGTTTTGTTCTATTTTTTGCACAAATGTTCCTTTCTTCCTGCGGCACAGTAGTTGTAGTGTGTTGCTCACCTTCAACCCCTGTGCCACGATGACCACGACATAGTGACTGCCCCTTTCCGCTAATCTCCATGCTTTCTGTTAGTTCTATGTCTGTTTACTGGTCTGTTGAGACTAGTACTACTACTACAACGCTACTATTCAGCAACTTATGCCAATGAGCTACGCGCACCACTGACGAGTTCCAAGCGGAAGAAACGGCTGTCTGGTGCTATTCCAGATAAGTAGTTAGGCTAGTTGAATTGTAAGCCAGTTGCGACAAACTTCATTACTCACTAAAATACTTCTACTCAATAGAAGTTGAACATAATAGCTTATTCTCATGCGATAGCATGTAACAGACTTGTAATGTCCTAGATATGACACTGCGTGGGGTCAGCTTGTCGCCATCAAAAAAATCCACTATGTATTTATCCATTTAATTCGTGAAAAGTGTGTATAACGGCGGACCGAAACGAACAGTCTGCTTTTGCAATAACACTTATTCTCAAAGTTACATGCTCATCCGATATTGTGAATGGAAATGACGAGATGATTCGAAAAGCACGCTCTCCCATTTAAGCGGTTCGGTTGCAAACTCTTCGGTAAAAGTCGAAGCACCTTTTTCAGTGTGTGGTCAAAAATAGTTTCGCTTGTAAATACTGGGTTCCAAGCAAAACCATGAACAAAAGACCCCTTTTATCAGTCATGTGTATTCATAACGCTTCCAAATTCCTCCTTACTTGAAACATGTTCCTCCATAGATCTATCTAGATAGTCCATAAGGCTATCCAGTTGCATCCAACGGACGCGAACGTCCCTAAATGCCATTGTGCATTAAGTTACCAAACAGAAATCAGCCAAAAGCATACCATACTGCGCGTTATACTATCGGCTAATTTGGGATTGGTCACTCAAAAGACAATACGCATATTCTAGAATCATTTGCCCCCGTTGGATGCAATCTGAAAGCGTTAAAAACCATCTTGAGGGATCGAAAGAAGAACGTGACTTCCCTAAGGAGGAATTCGAAAGCGCTATGGATATAATTGGCTGAGAAATGGTATATACCGGACACGAAGTACACATATAGACGTCAGCGACTGTGGTTGATTACCGTTGCACTCCCTGATGCTTGAGCGACCGTTGTGAAGATTATTGCTACGTGGGATAGATCACTGTATTCGTACCGCCGTATTAGTCCTAATGGCAGTAGGGTGCGATTAAGTGGGCTATTCCGTTTGTTGCTCGACCAATGGATTTTGTTGTCAAAAACACGGTTGTCAAATCACCACATTCCGTTCTTTCTGAGTTGTTGGTAGATAACAGCGAGGTCAGTGTTCATTCTTATCCAATTCTTCTTCCTGCAGAAAAGGCATCAAGGAACTCTCGTTGCTAACTTGTTGCCCAGTGCATTAGAATCGTCATTTTTATCCAGTTGAAGTTGTGCCTTTTGTCGTCGAAATGGGCTGATACCAAAGACGGTGCGCAGTCGCTTCTGTAGAGAGAGAAGAAGGGCATCAAAAGTACACCGTACCGACGCCACGCTTCCATGCGACCACAAGCAGTCGTTCGTGGACTAAGGATAGCATAGGATCGCCCGCGAATACGCAGAATCGAACCGGTGACAAGGAAGACGCCCTATACCAGTTAGCTAGGATAATATGTGCTCCTACAACCTTGCGGATAATACTCGACCGAGTTGATCCACATGGTTCGCATCGCAAATAGAACGATGTATCCAGCGTAGGAAATTCCGCCGTACGAAAGCTCCGGGGTTAACCTTTGAGTTCGAGAAACTCTTCTTCAGAATGACTGTGAACTTGTAAGGCGCCAGCAGGTGATGTGATTTATAGATTATGGATACCATCAGCATCATCATCATTATACACGTTAGCTAGAGGTGGAAAATGTCTCAGCTGCTGTGCGGCAATACATAAAAGGAAAAAAGAAAAAAACATGCGACAGAAGCGTGCCAGCTGAGCCAACGGATGGGCATCAATCCGAAAAGCTACCAACCGGCAAATAGGCGAAAAAGATAATTATTAGGTAAAATTATATTATGCCAAGAAATGAGGTCGTGGTTGGAGGGGGAGCCTAAGTGGGAGAGGGAGGGACAAAGAAACTCACAGCACGAACGTCACTAACGTCGGCTCCTAGCCATGTCACCAATTGTATCCAGCCAAACGTGTTCATCGTCTTTCGGACCCCAACCAGGGAGCCGTGACGCTCCAACCGAGGCCAGCTCAGAAGTGAGGGCCTTCATTCCTCTCGACCAAGTCATCGTTTGGCCAACCCTCCTCTTCTTCCATCCACAACCCCGGCGCGCAAACAACACACATCGCGGGAGTCGGTGGGCTGGCATGCGCAACACATGGCCGAGCCATCAAAGCGTGTTGCGTGAAATAACGGTGCTGAGCGGTTCATTCCCTTTTGCTGTGCCGTAAACAAGGATTCGAATACACTCGTTGTTTGCACGGTGTTCCCACCAGATGTGAGCCAAATTCCGAAGGCACCAGTAGTCGAACGTAACTAGCTCCTTTAGGTTGGCTGATCTAATGGGCCAAGTTTCATAACCGTACAGTAGGGTCGAACGTACCGCAACATTGTACACTCTACCCTTCAGGGCGAGAGTGATGTTGCGCCGGTACCATAAACGGCGTAGGTTAGCAAAAGTGCCCCGAGATTTTGCTATACGGTTCGTGATCTCATCTTCAATCTAACGGGCGTTGACATAACTTCCCAGATAGTTGAATTTTTGAACGACTTCTAGCTGATCCCCATCAAGGGTCAGCGTAGGAGGCGGTCCAGGCCAATCTTGGAGGAAATATTTGCACATCGAGGATGCGAAGCAAAGTCCGAAATGACGGACAGTCAGTGCTAATCTGTCCAGTGCCGCTTGGCACGTTTGTGCGCTGTCGCAGATGAGCGCAATATCGTCTGCATACCATCTCAGACAAGTCCTTCATATACAATAAAATGCAGACTAGGAATCTGTGGTCTCATGATTTAGGTGCCTTTGGAAGAAAATGTGTGAGTACTCATTACGCAGGAATGGCATAAGAAAGAGATTACTCGTTTTGCATCTGAGGAAGTGTAGTGTAATCCCATCCTGAGAAACAGAGGCCGCAAGCAACATGTGTAGCAATTTTTCGAATGATTACTGTTAAAAGATTGGAGTCAATAGTAGAGGCTCGTGTCTCTCCGAAGAACCGATGTCAGTGGTTCGCCCCATTCATTGATCCGGTGATCTACATGTCTAGGAGGGGCACTTTGGCTTTCATCTTCGGTCATAGAGTGAAGTGGATGTTGTACATTGGGTTGTTGAATAAAGTGCATGTGGTTTGCACCTAGTTAGGACTGAGTATCACGAACGTTGAGCCAAAGCATCGCATCCAGTATCATCTTGGAGCGATTGTAAACAGTATTCTCTTCCATATTTTGAAAGACAGTCTCCGTGGTAAATTTTGATATAGCGAATCCCATTGAGGTGAGCAAAATGACAACCAACCCGAATTATCCGTAACTGCAAACCTGCGGCATCTTTGGCGACAGAAGAGAGTTTCCCTCCATCTGAAAGGCCGTGTATACAAAGCCACAGTGAGGACCGTTATACTCTACGGTAGTCAGACTTGGCCCCTTCGGTCTGAAGATCTGACGCGCCTTCAAGTCTTTGATCATCGTTGTCTGCGAAGCATTGCTGATGTCGGATGACACCAGCGTGATCGCAACGATGATGTGCGTAGGCGAGTACTAGGTGGTGATAATAATGCTTGCTCTCTAGAACAACAGATAGCACTGAACAAGTTGCGTTGGCTCGCGCACGTGCTACGTATGCCTGGTCACCGCTTACCTAGGAGGGCCTTGTTTAGTCTGCCAGGTGTAGGGTGGCGCAAGGCTCGAGGTGGACAGAAGTTGACTTGGCAACGGCAAATGAAGTCACTGACGACCAAACTGGGTGCCGTTGGTCCGTCTCGCCTTCCGGGCTGGAGTCCACGTGACTCGCCTTGTGCTTGGCTCGAGACTTTACAGGACATGGCTCGCAACCGACACAAGTGGCGCGCCTGCTGCCGTCACCTAATCGGATTGCCAGTTTAAAATGCGTTTCGTGCTGAGTTAACTGCGAGGTAATGGCTGATTATGACGCGGGCAGTGAAAACCACAAGGAAGCTGTCTCGCCGATGCCGCCTTATCTTTCCACGATAGTCAGCTGTTTGTGACGGTATGTTCTCTACACAAGGTGTAGGCACCTTGACCCTGAATGTTTGCTTAGGGCATTAAGGTTTTCAGATAAGTCCCCCTTCTCTCCCTCCTCTTATTCTTTATTTCATAGGTCCTCATGGTTGTATGGCAGTGAAGCATCAGTTCAAATGGCTGATGTACTGCTGTTGTTCAGTCAGTTATTCTTCTAAGCCCGCAATGTATCCCCCGAGAATCAAGACCAGGCAGTAGATAAGGGATCTAACAAGAACCACCATTAATTGAGGTGAATTTGAGCACACGATTGGCGTAATGAAGCAGACGGAAGCATATACACAAGATTGCAACTTCGCCTTGCATGTGCAACACACAAGCATGAAAAACTCACTGGCTGTGTCAAAGTGGAATCTTTTTCGAGAAACTGGATCACGCAGTAGGCCAACTGAGCATGATACATGCTCACTGATTTGACCTTGTGCAGGGGGAGTAGCACTCGAACGAGGAACAATTTGTGCTCTTCTTTCAATGGCAAGGCGAAACCGTTGATGATGCTAAAAAACAAAGGCAGTCAAACGGATGGATGTGAAACAACCGTGTGTCACATGTAGATGCTGAGATGTGTGTGACTCAGAGAAAGGAAAACGCTCGGAAACAAATTCTTGGAAGATACTTGGAACCGATCGAGTAGTCATGAGTTCAGAAAGGTTTGGAAACAATCGGTTTGGTATAGTAGTTTGGTAACGTTCCGAAGGCACTTCGGAGGGTACTAAACAAGGAAAATATAAGGGTGATCTTTCACTGAGGTCGAACGTTACGTTCGGCGTTGGTACACCTGAAGGGCCCGCTTCCCAAGCGACTGTGCACATGTGTATATAGGCCAAACAGTGAGAGAATTACGCACACGAATTTCGGAGCAAAAGAGGCGCATTTCAAGACTACCAAGAAACGAATTTGAATACCAGACAATAGTAAGAGACTCGGCCGTAGCTGTGCATGCATTAGACACGGGTCACCAGATAGACCTCGAAAACGTAGAGGTCATTAGGAGGGGTACACGATCAACCCATCAGCGGTTGATTGCCGAGGCGGTGGAAATTGCCAAATCTGACGACTGCGTGAATAGAATGGAGGGGTAGAAATCCCTAATGCGTGGCGGGCGGTCTTACGCCGACCAGCTTGACGAGCATCGATGCGTGGATCAGATTGGAAAGTGCAAACCGACTCCCAAGGACAACGCTATGGGCTTATCCGTCAATGTCATGACACACAAAGGAACACCTGGACTATTCCCACTGTGATCGTACCACCTGAGGTGACATCCCAAACTGTTACTGTAATGACTCATGGCTCAAGACTCGGGTAACAAGGTTATCGCCCCTGTTCGCTATAAAATCCCACACCAATTGCACAGTGATTCACCTGGTCTGATGAAGCCTTTGTGTCAAAGGCGAAACGTTACCAAACTACTATACCAAACCGATTGTTTCCAAACCTCTCTGAGCTCGGAAACAAATTCTAGAAAAAAAACGAACAGAAAGAACGAGACAGTGCGGGCGATAATTAACGAAGGTGCTCGTCATAATGTCAAGATGCTCAGGTCCAAATAGGTGAGGCAGGAAGAGTTGACGGTTAAAATAGAGGCGTGGTTTCGTTACCATGCAAAAACCAAACGCTGTATATGATCATCGATAGGGATCACAAGGCAGAAATTCCTGGGGACCAAAGAAAATTGTTTGGATTATGGTTTGGTATAATGTAGAAAAGTAACCAGGATTCGGAAGTCGGAAGACAGTGGATAAAGAAACCTCTATTCACACTGCTATGAAAATGAGGCTTAAAAATAATTTAATGGAAAAACCGAGAAAAAACGCGCAAAGAAGATGGAAGCATTGGAGGAAATCGTGATCCATTAGAAGCGTGGAACCAAATGCCAAAGCAGCAAGGACTTTTATATCGCGCATTGTAGGGTGCATTTTAACACCACTGTGCACGATTTCGAGGAATTGAACAAGTGATCAACTAGCTACCCGAAGCGTGCCTGTAGCATCAAATTATCCCGTGTAAATCATTGGAGCGAGTTAATTTATGTCGGTAAAGTCCATCGCGTGCCTCCGAGAACGGTCTCCTTGACAAGGCGGATCTCGCAAATGTATCTTGTAATTGGGCAGATAGCCACAGTGAAACGAAACTCGGAACCGATCAGCAAAAAGCGAATAGCATTATGGAGTCGATATGCAAGTTACAGATGAATACTCAGAAAATGTGTAAATCATCATCTTTCTTAAGCAAATCTGAAAAACTCTATTTCAATGCAATAGGGAACGACCACAAAGCAAAACAGTGGATGAAATAGCTCAAGCGAAGTTTAGTTCTGCGCTAAGATGAAAATGAGAACCGCTAGATGAGCAGTGACAACGCTTGCGGCGTCACAAGAAGTGCAGCAATGTAACAAACATTGATGCACCTCTTGTGCGCCAGAGAAAATCAGCATCCAGAATGTATACACAGTTCAAAATGGCAGCATCAATGGAGTTCAAAAGAAGCTGGATATGGGCATCAACAATCGACTGGATGCAAACCTCTCTGAGCTGTCGTCCCAGTAACTGGCTCGATTGTCTTGGTGGGCCGGTGGCCGAGTGGTCTGTGCGCTTGGTTGGCAATCGTGCGGTCACAGGTTCAAATCCGCGAAGGGGTGGGCGTCCTCGCGATATACTTAGCCCACGCGCGACTGTTGGTAATCGCGCGGCAGCGAAGCACCATTATGGGGTACAGCTTGCAATTCATTCATTCATTCATTTCTTGGCCATTCTGTTCAGGCTCGGATGTACTAAACCACCTTAGTAAAGAACTCTGTATCAGTGTGGTAGCTGTAACTACGATATCCCATGCGTTGAGTGGAATAGTAATAGTTTCCATTGCATCGATTCAGACCTGAGGACTTAGCAAGTCTCTCTTAAGGTGTCAAATCGAGCATGCGATATGAAAGTGTCCACAAGCACACCAAAAACACAACAAATTATCCGCTGACATCGGTAGCAACAACATCTGTTTGTGCGTTACTGGTGTGCAACCTTGACCGGTAGGAGAGTCAGTAGGGAATATAAAAACCTGCAAAGACGGAGGCGGGATGAAACGTACGGAAGTCACATTCAGCAGCTTTGCAGAGCACAGCTATGACCGACTAGAATGAAGGAAGCAATCTCGTCCGTTTACCAACCCTGCTCACTATGCGCCATCAATGTGTAGTAGGATCTGAGGCAAAAGTCGCATTGTCAAGTATCCAACCGAGTGCTACAGTATCCGCTAGGTAGTTCGGGGCTATCCCGTTCTAGTGACACATTCAGTAGTAGTGCTTCAGAACGTAGTGGGCTTGTGTCTGCCAAGCCCACTCTGCTTAACAACAATGCGACGTGGCGAAAGTGACTTGAAAGTAAATAAAATCATTATCCTTTGCTTTGACTCATTGAAGTAGCGCAGTAGATATGTACCGAATTGCTAAAATGGATTGTGATGCTGCTTGGTAACTTACCAAAACAAAAGCGTATGAACAGAAATCGTTCACTGGCTCCAAAAAAACGCGAATCTCTGAATTCGTCCAGCTGCCGTTTAGGTAGACTGTTCAGTCAAATATTCGAGGTGGTATCCCCTAAGTCAACTACCCACTTCGAGTTGAGCGACCGGGTCGTACAAGGCTCTCTGAAGAGACATGGACTACATTGCTACTTCGTCGCACTCTATCGTTCCCGTCTCTCTTCCTTTATTCTAATCAATCTGCATTCCACTCAAACGATAGGTTTGTAAATAATCCCTGTTACTCTTGAGTTAAGCCAAATACCGAATTCGCTGCTGCTCATCCCTTGGCTCTGACTCTCGATTCAACTGATAACCATCAATGCGCTGACATTCAAGCAGTGCGGGCAAAAGGCCGGCCAGGTATGTGCTGCAAATTGCTTCGCTGCTGCCCTTACGAAATAGGTGCAAGACTCGAGCATTGTGCCCAAAATGACATCTCTGATGAACCGCGAAATCACATGGCATCTACGCTTGTCTCGCAGCGCAGAAACAGCTACAGCCGGCTTGGTTGGTGTTGGCGTGGAAGGCAAAGTTGCAAAGTCAAAGTGATATAATTGAAATGGTCCCCAGATTGCAGCCGACGACTATGTGCGGTGCGATTTCAAGGCTCGTGTATGATTAATGGATACCGCAATGAAAAGTGTAACCTACTTGTGATCCCAGTCTACGCGCCTATGTGACTTCAACAAGGACAAATTTTTACCGTTATCTTCACCAGATTTAGCGCAAAGCCACCAAATCATCAGCATCAGTACACAGTAGTTTAAGGTGAGAAAAACACTTCAGCTATCTGTGCCGCAATACAAAAGATATATGAAGAGGGAGATAATAAATACTACAGAATATAAAAGATTAAGAAAGCAAGTATGATAATGCTGTGTCATATGCTTGCAGTGTGAGATCGTTGTTGCAGAAAGAAGACAAACGGGAAGGGAGGGGATTAAAAAAACTCACACCACAAACGCTACCGAGGTATCTCTTGGTCATATCAACAAGTGTATCCAACCAAACGTGTTCATCGTCCTTGGGACCCCAGCCCGGCAGTCGGGAGATACCGACCGACGCAAACTTCGAAGTGAGGGACTTCATTGCTCTTGACCAAGTCATCGCTTGGCCTGTCCTCCTCTTCTTCCATCCGGACCGCGGTCGCGCAAACAACACACGTCGCGGGACACGATGGGCTGACATGCGTAACACATGGTACAGCTATCAGAGCCTGGTGCGAAGCCCCCAAACTGTAGGTCGCTGTTCTAACCAGTGGGTCGGTTTCTATGAGGGGGAAAACCACCTGGATGGATAGCACTCACTGAATCAGAATCACTCCGATAACGGAACCAGGCCTCACACTTGTTGTGAAGAGAATGGTCTATTTCTCAAGCAGACGTTTTGTCACTCGCGGTATACTCCTTCACCAACGCAAGCTTAGTCTCAAATGGACTACAATGCAATCAGTTTCAAGTGGTGGGGTGAGATAAAAGACTGTATAGCATTTTGATCCAGTTAGGTGAAATCAGATCACGCACTGGTGTGTGTGAGAAAGAGAAATAGAGAGACAACATTCGCGTGCGATTTGAGAGTCTCAGAAACGGAAGCACTGTAAGCTTGGTACGAACAGAACAGTCGGCTAGACTGAATTGTCAAGTCTCATTGATAAACGCAGTGGCATGTGTTCCGTCCATTGATATCGAACACTATTGGATATATATATATATATATATATATATATATGCGGGAAACAATGCTAAATTGCGATAAATCTATCTGTCTGTTAGCTCATTATCACTTAAAAACCCGGATATCTATGCGAAACCGTTCTGTCGTCGCCAGAAGGAGTTTCACCGCTCCATTACTCGGCAATTAAAACCAGGTCAAAAGTTTGGTGGGTTAGCACCGCAAATACAGGTGAGTTGTATCAGCGCATTCGGATCATTGGTTACAGGAAGCCTGGTATAAGTGAGACAAGATGCGAGGCGGGGGT